GTCGTTTGTTTTCAACCATTAATTCATCCAAAATATCATTAATACTAATAATTAATGACTTTTTACTAATCATTGAATCCATAATTCAATACAAAATCACATTTAAAACTAATTCACAACTAATTTAAAGCCAAACCCAAAACCCAATGAAATGCACAAAACAGACAACAAATGGACACAAAACCAAAGGGACTGTCAATACAGACACCAAAAACAACCCAAAACTTCAAACAAAAACATTATAAAAATTAATAAAAAGCAAAATCAAACCCAAAACCAGCGCAAAACACAACCAAATCAACAAAACCCAAACCAAACCAGAAAACAACCCAAAAAGCAAACCCAACAAAAGTAACCCACATTCAAATCAGGCGCTCCCACCCACTCAATGGCGCGCAAAGCAGCGCTGTGTTGGCCATCGGTGTCGCCCTCTATGGGCACAATAGGGCGCAAACAATGGCAGCGATAACAGTGTTTATCACACATACGATGCCATTACTAGTGATGTATTGAAAAAAGCATTTTAATTGTGCGCTAAATCCACACCTAATTCACCATTGATTGCAGTGTTTTAACCCTCAACTATCACTTTAATTGATCCCATTATCAACGCTCGTGAGTGGAGACAGAAGAGGCAGACAATGTCGCGGCCATCGTATTTCTACGAGGGAAGGACTCGCTTCGGTGGCACTAACAACGCCCGCGCGGCCCGACTCACGGCCGGCACCACTCCCTACTCAGTGTCGGCCCGATTGGCACCGATGGTCACACTTAGGCCACAGCAGCGACCGGTGGCTGTGAGCGCGTCGGCCGCCTCTGTGTCGGCCCCGGAGGCCGGTCTCAGTGCCAGCAGTCGTCGCATACTTGAACTCCTCGAGAGAGCGTCGACGCCAGTGCAAGACGCGCGCCGTCAGCCCTACTCGTCGGCCACCGCATCCGCCCGACAGCACTACTTCACCTCAGCCTCCGACTACTCGTTGAGGGCCAGCAAAAGGCCCCGAATGGGTGGTCCGCCCACTGGCGCCACGCCGTTGGCCTCGCAGGCGGTGATTGATCGCAGATTCGCGCCCCAGAAGTGGGAGTTAAAGCTCGTGCCCGACGCTGACGGCGCCGCTAAGCTGTCTGTCGCCCCGAAGACCACCGACGAGTTGATCGCGTCGGCCGCTCGCGAAGACAATACACGACTCGCCGATAGGTTTGACCCCAAAATGTTGGGAAGAGTTCAGCGAAGAGAGGAGAGACGCGGCGCCAAAATACACGTGAATGACAATCAAGAGGACGACGACCAGTGTTTGCAACGGTTGGCTGCGGTCCAGCCCCTGGCGATACCGTCGGGCGCTCTGTTGCCTACCTTTACGTTCAGCAAATCGTCGACAGCAGTGACTGATCGTAAGCCCGCGTCGGATGCCGTACGCAAACCCATAACCACTACAACTGTGACCAAAATCTTTGCCACAGAAGAGGACGACGAGTGCCCTGTTTTCGCGTTCACAGAACCAGTGCTCAAACGCAAAGCGCGCAAACTGTCCATCAGAGGCATCGATGAGTCGCCGCCGCCCGTCGACGGCAAGAAAGGCTCGTTTGTGTTCAGTAGTCCCGCCGCCTCTTTGCCCGTCACTAATAATAAGTCGAACGGAATTAACGATTTAATAAAGGCTTCGACGGCACCGCCGGTCACTCCTATACCACCATTGGGTGCGAAGACTCGCGACTCGACGCCTGCCGTAAGCGCCGCTACTTTTAATGGTTTGGACGCCATTTCGACGACGCCTTCATTCACCACAATAACCACTTCTACCACAACAACGGCTAAGACTACAACAACAGCACCGAAACCACAGTTAGATTCACCCGCTGTTGACTCTCCCAAACGAGTGGACCCGAAGCTATTCTCCTTTGGCGTACCATTCAGTGCGAGTAATACCACGAGTGGGTCTTCATCGTCGCCAACAGTGCCAACACAACAACAACTGATTACTAAATCGTCGCCAAAAGCGTCGACACCGACAAAGACATTGCCCTCTTTTGGGGCGTTTGGCACTAGTAGTGAATCAATGACAGCGATCGCAGCGCCTGTAGTGCCCAAACCGATCGCCGTTGAGAGTCAGTCGACAAATTCAAACGCAAAGCGCGCAAACTGTCCATCAGAGGCATCGATGAGTCGCCGCCGCCCGTCGACGGCAAGAAAGGCTCGTTTGTGTTCAGTAGTCCCGCCGCCTCTTTGCCCGTCACTAATAATAAGTCGAACGGAATTAACGATTTAATAAAGGCTTCGACGGCACCGCCGGTCACTCCTATACCACCATTGGGTGCGAAGACTCGCGATTCAACGCCTGCCGTAAGCGCCGCTACTTTTAACGGTTTGGACGCCATTTCGACGACGCCTTCATTCACCACAATAACCACTTCTACCACAACAACGGCTAAGACTACGACAACAGCACCGAAACCACAATTAGATTCACCCGCTGTTGACTCTCCCAAACGAGTGGACCCGAAGTTATTCTCCTTTGGCGTACCATTCAGTGCGAGTAATACCACGACTGGGTCTTCATCGTCGCCAACAGTGCCAACACAACAACAACTCATCACTAAATCGTCGTGTTTTCGCAGCTGTGGCTGTTTCTGTAACGGGAGAAAACCCCGCAAACCGTGATCATCACTTAGTTACTGTCGCTAGCGTCGCGGACATCACGGGTTTGGCTAGCGGCAACTCTCAGTCAGCTGTTTGAGCGCTACGGTTGCGGCCGCAGCGCCCGCACCGGTTGGGGCCGTATTCGACGGTTGGGGCGATAAATTCAAACAGGCGTCCGGAACGTGGAGTTGTCCCGTCTGTTGTATCTCTAATAAGGACAGCGATTCGCGGTGTTTGGCCTGTGAAGAGCCCAAACCTGGCGGTGGCGGCGGAACCACCACTTCTAAGGACACATTTTCCGATATAAAGACTGCTAACAAATCTGGTTTTGGCGGCAATACATCGGCCTTTAGTTCTTTGCCGGCACTGCAGGACAATAATCAGCCGCTCTTTGTGTTCGGCACTCCTTCTGAAGTTAAGGTCTCGACGACGACCAGCGCTTCGTTCGGCGGTTTTGGTATCGCATCGCCGGCGCCAGCGGTAACGCAGCCGACCTCTACTCCCCTATCGAGTACTTTTGGTGGCTTTGGTTCCACACCATTAGCTCCTGTGATGACACAATCGTCGTCCCAATCGGCGACCTCTGCCTCCACGACCACCGCATCGTTCGGCAACTTTGGCGGCAATGCGTTAACCGCTTCGGCGACCGGTTTATCGCAATTTAAGGCCTCGACAACGACATCACCTCTGGCGGCGAATCCAACGTTCGGCGGATTCGGTTTAACCACTTTAGCTCCTGTAGTAACACAACAGTCCGCCTCATCGGCGGCCACCAAAACGGGCATCACTTTTGGCGGTTTCGGTCAATCAGCGACACCAGCCGTTACCACACAATCACAGCCGACATCATCGGCCGCGCCGTTCGTTTTCGGTGGCTTTAGTACCAATCAAGCGTCGGCTCCCACAGCGTCGAAGAGCTCTCCGGTGACCTCTACTACCACCTACCAGCCGTTACCACACAATCACAGCCGACATCATCGGCCGCGCCGTTCGTTTTCGGTGGCTTTAGTACCAATCAAGCGTCGGCTCCCACAGCGTCGAAGAGCTCTCCGGTGACCTCTACTACCACCGCATCGTCTTTCATCAGCTTTGGCGCCAACAATAGCACCGCAACCACAGCCTCAGTACCGGCTGTAAAGCCTCCGCCGGCTTACACTTTTGGCGGCTTCGGTGGCGCCAGTGGTGGCCAATCGACAACCCCTTCGATCACTCAATTCCAGAGTCCCTCGCAGTCGACGCCCACTTTTGGTGGTTTCGGTGCCACACCAGCGATGCCTTCAGTGCCTAAATCGACGACCTCTGCCACTGACTCGTCCGCAGCCACACAGCAGAGCAAACCCGAGTCCAAACTGTTTCAATTCGGCACTCAATCGGCAACCGCTGGACAACAATCGTCTAAAGAACAAATAAAATCGTCACCGTTTGGCTTCGGAGGGTTTGGTGGCAACCAATCGACCGCTACAACTGCCGCCACCGCAGCGGCGCCCGTATCGCAGACACCGGCGAATCCGACACCGTTTACCTTTGGCTCGACGTTTGGTTCGGGCAACCAATCAGTGCCTACAGCCGTACCGCAGAGCCAATCGGCGCCTCAACAGCAGCCAAAGGTACCGTCGTTTTCGTTCAACGGCTTTGGCAACAACAGCGCGCCCTCTACTGGAGCCCAACCATCGTTGCCCTCATTCACGAGTCAATCCCAATCGTCGGCGACGGGAACTCCGTTTACTTTCGGTGGCTTTGGGTCCGCGCAGTCAGCATCAGCTCCGACCTCCCAGACGGGGCCCAAACCGCCGTCGTTTGCGTTTAACGGGTTTGGCAACAACAGCAACACTCCCACAGCGCCCGCACCCGTCAACCAATTCTCCAGTAGTCAATCGCAGGCCGTGACCACTGCCGGCGCCGCCGCTCCGTTCGCGTTTGGCGGTTTCGGCACCACTCAGTCGGCGCCGACACCCGTTGTACCGACAGTACCTCAATTCCAGAGCCAACCCGCGGCCCAACCCCTCCTACCGACGGCTCCGCAGTTTAATTTCACGCAACAGCCGTCGTTTGACTTCGCCTCTATGGCCAGCACCGGCGCCGCCGCCGCTCAGCCACTATTCCAGTTCTCGTCAGTATTTGTTTGGTTTTATTTAATGTTTAATTGTTTTGATTGCTTTGAATGTTAATTAATTGTGTTTTTTTGTTGTAATACAGGGCCGAACCGACGGCGCAAACGACAGCAACCAATCGGTTCATCAAAAAAGCCAAACGACGTCTCAATCCATCATAACTTTCTGTTTGTTTTTCACGCATTATTTTTAATCCATTTTTCAATATAAATGTTATAAATTTCATGAATATATTGATAATACAATTGAAAAATACAGATAAATATTATTATTGAATAACATATACACAAAAATATATGATCTATTTTTGTGGTCAATCGCCGACAATAACTTTTATGTGTTATATATTATAATTATATATAAAAGTGCTGTATTTTCTCACACAAGAAATGTTTGTTTTTTGAAATTTCATTGAATTCATTATTTCATGAGTTATTTTAGTTATAAATCTTGGAATTAATAAATGATAATAAAAACTATTAAATGAATTATATTTGACATTACATTCTGTGTTCCACTTTATTATACACTAATTATGCATTCAATCTGTTTTTAAATTCAATTATTTATTATAAGTTTTAACTTTAATATATTTTATGATTTATTCAAATTGTTTCCAATATTAAATTTGTATAGTATTTGTCATTTTCTTTCTCCCATTTCTTATAGTGTTTGATAAGAAATTAGACGAAAGAATATTCTGGTAAACAACAAATTTAATATAAAATTTATAACATTATAGTTAAAAATAGGTCAATATGTTTACCACAGACTGTGCCTTAAGATTGAGAAATAACTTATTGGGAACGAAAGGAGAGCTAAAATGATAAGAAAGAAAGAAAGAAAGAAAGAGAGAGAGAGAGAGAGGCGATGGACAGAACCCTAAACGGCAAATGTGAACGAATGAACCATAAGAGAGACTATAATTGCAATTATATATAAAACTAATTCCAATACAATTTATTATATAAGCTTTTTATTTATTATAAGTTTTAACTTTAATATATTTTATGATTTATTCAAATTGTTTCCAATATTAAATTTGTATAGTATTTGTCATTTTCTTTCTCCCATTTCTTATAGTGTTTGATAAGAAATTAGACGTAAGAATATTCTGGTAAACAACAAATTTAATATAAAATTTATAACATTATAGTTAAAAATAGGTCAATATGTTTACCACAGGCTGTGCTTTAAGATTGAGAAATAACTTATTGGGAACGAAAGGAGAGCTAAAATGATAAGAAAGAAAGGAGAGGGAGAAAGAGAGAGCTATTCTATAATGATATGAACAGAAGTAAAGCTTATATAATAAATTGTATTGGAATTAGTTTTATATATAATTGCAATTATAGTCTCTCTTATGGTTCATTCGTTCACATTTGCCGTTTAGGGTTCTGTCCATCGCCTCTCTCTCTCTCTCTCTCTCTCTCTCTCTCAAAGCTGGTAATTGTGAGGACCGGAGAATTCAGTGTAGCGTTTGATTGGTGTGTCGAAGCGAATGGTGAGTTGATTACGAAGTATTTCTGAAATTAGGCAATCACTGGCACTCCAGCACACCATACAGTCTGGCAGTGTATGTGTGCCGACCACACCGTACGGCAGCGCTACGGCTCCCATCACAGCCATAATACCATTACCAGACCATACATACTGTGCACACATCCCAGCGCTCGCAGACACATAACAGTTACATACAGTACAGTACAGTACAAACGCGTACAGTATCTCAACCATTGCCTTAAGAGTTGCACAGTTAGCACAAATAGAGAGCACACTATTGGGCACAAAAGTGGCACTATTTGTCTTTCAAAATGAAATCGATGTCTCATTTATGCCGTCATTCGCATAGCTATGGAAACCTGATGTCGACGTCAACTGTAAGGACAGCACAGTATTGAAGATAACGTTAAGAAAATCCGAAAGAAATGATCAAAAATAGTGGTGTTATAGAGAGTGTATGCGAGAGAGAGAGAGAGAGAGAGAGCTTTAAAAGTTATTATCTAAAGAGGGAATTAAAACTTTTGTTTTGAAGCACTAATTAAAGCCGTTTTGTGTTTCATATACTGGTATTCGCATCGATAGTCACTAGAGTTTTATAAACCAAACAATAATAATAATAACAAAAATCTCAATCTGCGAGCAATGCATAATTCTTGATAAACAAGCTCCTCATCTCTCTCTCTCTCTCTCTCTCTCTCTACTGTTATATCTATTTATATGAACAACGATTAACTTCATATATAAACTATTCATTCAAAATGAATCTCATATTCAAAATTCGCTTTCAAAATATGAAAATATTTTTGTCGTTTATATAGATTTATACCTCTGGGCTATCATTTGATATGTATTTTAATATTTATGTTAAATGAATCTCAAAATTTGAATTTTAGATACTTTTTAATGAACATTTCTCTCTGACTCACTCACTCGCTATATTTGTAAGTGTATCTAGTTCATTTTGCTGTCAATTATTAAGGACTTTAAAATATTATACATTTTATGCCCTATTAATCGATAAATGGGATACTATGTAGTGATGCTGTACTTCACGAGTTGATGGCTATAACTGAAATCAATGCGATAAACATTATTAACGCTGAAAAATTGATATATTTTTTGCTGGTCTCAAAAACATGACCAATAAAATGATTACATTCTTTAATTCACGTCCAATGCTATCTACGAGAGAGAGAGAGAGAGAGAGAGAGAGAGAGAGAAATTGATGAAATGAGATGAGTAGTAGTGAATGGAGTGATAAATAGCGGACAGTAAGGATGGCGTGTCCTAAACATCTCCAACAGTTATTTCATGTTTTTGTCCCTAAAATACTATTTAAGTAGCAATTGATAGTGAATGCCATCGGATAGATATGGGAGGGAGAGATACGAGTGCTTTAGTTATGGGCCTCAAAATTTAGCAAAAGTTATGTGTTTTACGCTCTAATGACTCGTTAACTCTCTCTCTCTCTCTCTCTTCACTATTGCCTTCAATACCTCTTCACTCTTTTATATATCTCGTATTTTCTTGATTTTAATAATTTTTTGTCAGAAAAAACTAGATATGTGGACCATCATTTTACAGTTTACAGATTTGATCTAGCTCATTCCGTTCGGGAGATATAACGATTCTTGAGGCGACAAGTTTTTTTGAACGACTGGATAATTATAACGACCGTACGATTATAACGTCCGCATTTAATATTAGCTTCAATTTAGTTGCAAAGTGTGAAATAAACAGGGTCATTATGCAATGCAATGGACGGGTATTTAAACGATAATAAATTCAAATTATTTGCTTCATTGAAAATACAAACATACATGTATGTAAAGTGTGAACATACATGTGTATATTTTACATTATATTAACTAAATTTATACTTTAGTGTAATTCATTGAGAATCAAAATTGTTTGAACTCGGATTAAATTACATTCAATAATATGGAGATAATTGAATATGATCCAGATCTATTGCTGCCCCAGCATTTAGTATATAAATCAGCGGCAATACATTTTTATAGGATTAGCCTGGATTTTAATCCGGTTATGTATTATAACATTAAACGACCCTGGTACAATAAACCCATTTGCGGATTTATAGTATTGGCATTATTCACCATAAAATGCTTAATTTGTTTGGTTGTTGGTGAACAAAATAAAACAATCCTACTTGCCCTGGGTGATTTTGGCTATTTACTAAACAACCGGGTACTTTACAACGTATTTTTTATTATGATCACGCAATTGACGCAATTGTCCCAGATCATTTACTTTTATAACTACATGAATTGCATTAAACCGACATTTATGCGCGTATTCCGTATGATGGCTGGTGTGGAAACACCGGCATCGGTAGGTCTAACGAATCTAGATGAAATAAATAAATTGATCAAACAAACTAGATTTATGTCACGGATGGCCCAATTCAACGCTCAGTTTGTCATATGGTTTTGCTCAGGAGTGCAAGTGATCACTACTTACTACGTGAATACCCCGTTGCGGACAACTCTGATGTTTGGCGTACCGAATGGTATATTGTTTATGATTTGGTGTAACTATTTCTGGAATTTTCTCGAGTTTCAAACGGTATACCTGTATATACTTTGCGCGTATCTGAAGCTTAAATTGGCTGAAATACACCGCAAACTCGTAACCACTGATAAATACGGGCGACGACTGACACCAATTGTGACCGTAATTAAACAGTTATATGGCTTGTATGCAGAAATCAGTGAATACAACCGCACGTATTGGTCAAAGTTTTTGTTTATACTTTGGTTGTCTTACGGCTCGGCAATAGTTCTATGGCTTTTTAATGTGATATTTCTCTCAATGAATATCATGGTAAGAGTGATATATGTGTATTGTCTGATTGATATGGCTACAATTTTCCTATTTGTTATATTCACGGCCTCTTTGGTCAACACTGAGGCCCGAAAGACACATAAAGTATTGAATTCATTCATTGCCCGCAATGTTAAACATAGGAATATAACTGTCAACAACATTATCAAGGTATAAAATTAATGTTTAATATTTGTAATGGATTTGTAATTTATTGTTTTAAATTATAGTTAAATACATTGATTGAGACGATTAGTAGACGTAAAGTGGGCTTTTCGTGTTGGAAAGTGTTTGTGATCAACAAAATCCGGTGCTATGAAGTGAGCTTATTTTAATTTAACATGCCGAATAATTAGTATTTTTTTAAACATGATCAATTTATTATAATACCCCTTGTATTCCGTTCTCATATAGATTCTGTTATTCTTATCGTCACTGTTTTTGAATATGCTGATCACATACTGTGAACAATACTAATCATCATTTCTAAATTATGTGTTTTTCTGTTATACTCAAACTTTTCCAAATAAAATTTTAAACATCAAAAATTAGATATTACCAATATTATAGTGGCGTTAATTGTAATACTGTTTTATTACCTGTTCACAATATAACAGTCAATGTAGAGCAAGGTTTGATATATTTTTAATTTTAGTCAAAATAAAATATTAATTATATCCTGAATTATGCCTAAATTAGTTTAATGATAAAATTAATGTCATAAATCTTACAACTAAGCATTTTGAATCTTATACAGTACGTTAATGTTATGTAATATGTAAAGTTTAATTAATAATTATAAAGTTAAATTATTTTTGTCTCTAATTAATTTTAACCTTAAAATTATATGAATCTTTAAAAAATAGTTAGCATTTAAAACTACATTCAGTGTCTTTATTATTATTATTTATAACCATGGCTGGTTTGAGGGAGGATAGGGCTCAAGTTAATTAAACGTAATTATTGAATCACCAATGTAATTTTTAGACTATAATTCATGATAAGCGTTACTAAATTTAAAGTTATTTTCTCCCCTTTAATTA